TTGAAGATTGTACCTCTTAGCCATTACTATTAAATATTTTCAAATCCAAGCTGTTATATTTGAAACTCTATTGTAATTGCAAAAAGACATGTCAACCACAACTACCAAAACATCCTTGAAATAACATTTCAAATAACTTAGGTTTAACTACTAACGGACAATTCTGTGACAAAATTCTCATTCCATACAAACATTTGGGGTATAATCACAACACAAATAATACAATAGTTTTACCTTGTTTCACACAACCAGTAAGCAAAACCCAAGACCACCAGACAATCAAACAAAACCAAAAAGATCTGACAGTAAAAAAACATTGGAGCCTCTGTGTAAGACTCTAAATGTTTAGTAATTGTCCCTTAAGAAAAAAAACATCCCCAGAGCAAAAAGATGGAAAAAAAAGAAAGAAAAGTGGAATGCACAAATGTATCACTCAAAAAAATATAATGAAAACTTCCAAAATGTCTTAATTGTACTAAGAAAATAACCCCTGAATCCACAACAACATAATCACAAATGCCTGATCAAGAATTTGATCTTAATCATAATTTGAATAGCAAATACCGGTACTACTTTCCTTCAGTAGAAGCACAGTATTTATTACAACACTGGAAAATGTTCTGCTAAAATTAGATAAATGCTCTGGTTTATAATACCCTGTATGTCTTGAATTGAACAAAATTGTAAGAGACAAAGGGGCAGTGAACTAACGTAGATGCATTTCAAATACAAGCCATTTTATGGCTGTGGAAATGCTGAAATAACAAAGCTGTCCATAGAGGACAGGACAAACCAACAAAAGGTATAGCATTGACACAAGATGGGAAGAAATTGAACATACTGTACAGAAGACTTACTTTCACCATCCTAATACTTTGTAATCCACTTCACCTCACACCTAATACATTTTACCAGACAAAGTTAGAAAGGTAACTCAGTCTAATAATTTTAGTACACACTGAACTCTCTTAAATTTAGATCAGACTCTTAAGAAAATCAGCATGACTTTTTTAAAAATCAAGTTTAAATAAGCAGTCCTTATTTTAGATAACAACCTAAAGTAATTGGAAATACATATGATGCAGCAAGTTATTGTGATGAGGTCTAAGCTAGCTAGGCTGTAAAATCATGACCAATAACATACTGTCGAAGAAAATTATTTTAATTCATAAATGCGCAGCTTGCATCTGAACATAGCAAAGGATGTAAAGAGGCAGCCTCCAGATCACAGAATATCACAATTTGTTGGCACCACAAATCATGTTCCATCCAAAAGTACAAAACAAATACACTACCTGTGCACAGGCAAAACAGCATTGAGTACATTACATTACATGTTTTACTGGATACCTAAATTTTTATTGGCAATATTCAAATCTCAGTAGCAAGAGGTAAAGATAATGATGATTGAGCAGAAAATCAGAAACATGTCCAGGACAGCTGAAACTGAAGGGACTGCAAAATTTTGACTAGTTAGTATTTTGTTAGACAAAATAGGAAATGACTCTTTGCCCATTTCATGAATCCAGGTACAAAAACAACTTAAATCATATGACAAAAAAAAATGGAATAAGTTGCCAGAGATGAGATTGAAGTTAACAGAACTTCCAAGAAATTAGAATCCATGATTTGTGATGAGATTTTTGATCACTTTTGCAGCTTTTGATTTGTAATTTTGTTTTGAAAATTCTTTCTGAAAAACAATGTTGCATACAGAAAAAGGAAATGACATAGACACACGAGAGAAATACAACCATTTAACTTGGACTTACACTTACGTTAATTAATTACATGGCACTAGTCTTTTACAAGTCCTTATGGAAATGAGGCTGAATCAGTAGAAAATAGTTAAAGAGCTCGTGTGCCTCGTACAGTATGTCTGACCTAAGGAAGAGGGAAAAAAAGCATACCAATTAGTGAGGAATTGAAAAACTATTTGTCTTAAACTTTCCTTATCTAGTATACATACTGGTAAACGCTTTTGACTGCTATCAATCTCCTGGGCTTTATTGTAAAGAAGAACACCTAAGATAACAGTGCAGGTGCCAATAGCACTCAAAACAGTGACAGGATTGCCAAAAAGAAGGACGGACAGCCAGATCAGAAAGGCTCTTTTTCCAGTGTTAGCAACACTAGAAGGGAAAAGGAATAAGAGTTAAAATCTATCACAAATTGCAACTTTATTTAGGTTTTATATGACCCTAGTTTTATGTACCTGTGCGTTACTGGAGAAATATAATCCATAAGGACATAAGCGGTGATACTCTGAAAATGAAACAAGAGTCCATTGAAAAAAAGAGCTCCCCAGAGATAAATGTCCGTTGGGGTTTGCATGGTGCTCAAATCCATCAAGATCCATGAGCCTGGTATCAAAACAACCATTGCAGCCATGCTTGTGTAAAACTGCAGTTCTGCTGGCCTGTTGAGAGGGTAAAGCTTATGATTACAGATCCATTGTTTGGGCAGATTCATTGAATAACGATACAGCATTGATAAATTACATTAACTTACGTGTATCTGAATTTGTCACCACTAATAAGCATTTTAGATAAGACATTTTGCAAACTGGAAATAATAGAAATTAAGAATTATAAGTATTTATCCTTCTCCTTCATAAATCTATTAAATTTATATAATCATTGGAGATACTATCATACACCACGGACAACAAGCGAGTATCTTTTTTAGAATTTTTGCGACAGTACAAATAGAGAGACATATGTGAGATTTTACCATTCTGTTATGTTGGTAGCCATGGCAGAAAGGAAACCTTGTGTATTAAAGCTCAGTTCATTAGCAGAACATAAAGCAAGACCACTCATCACAGGTACTAGAGATAGGTTCACATACAACCCAGTGTGCTCACCTGAAAACAAACATTTGACAATGAATAAAGTAATAATATGTACCTCTTTATGACCACATACATAAAATCACTGCAGATAGCTGTTAAGATAACATACCAAGAACTATTTTGGATATGAGCACAGTGAAAATTGGGGCAGAACTTTTTATAGTCTCAGTGAAACTGACAGCTATGAACTTAAGAGAGACTAAACCTAAAACCACAGTCACAAATCTGAAAAAATATTTAAAAATAGAATAAAGATGAAATATTATGTTTTTTTAAATGTTTCCTAGTTTCAAATCTATGTTCACTTACCTTGTACAACCTACAAGGACCATGTGACGATAAAAGCCAGGTGGACGAACTAGCCTTTGAACCGGTTTATACATTCCACAAGGATAATACATTTGGACACATCCACATAATGTGGTCATAAACATTTGACAGATTCCTGGGAAAAGAAAACATCACAATTATTTTCTTATAACAATGCCTAATTCGATGCTGTATACAAGATGATTCCTACCTAGCACCATTGGATCTCCTCTCATAAAAGTCAATATATATTTGTTAAGAAATAGAGTACAACCACTAAAAAAGTACCATAATACTAAAAATCTGATGGCTCTAATATTCCATAATCCTGCTTTATTTTCTGCAGTCTCTGTTATGACTCGGTGATGATGAACAACATTAGCCTCTGATGACTCATCACTTAGGACAGCGTCTCGAATAAGTCCATTGCCACTCTCTGCTAAAACTTCCAGGTCAGATAGCCGTTGACTGTCTTCCTCTACCGGGTCCACAACTTCATCCTCATGACTGCTCATGATGTTTCACACAGTGGTGAACAGGTGAATTAGGATAAAAGAGATGATTTTTCAGAAGGAACAGACATTCACACCGAGATTCATAATTAATAGACTTGTATTGTGCTCTCTCGACCTGAAACATATGAAAAATATATAAATATAATTTATTTTTATTTTTTTAAAGTTGTTTTCTGTTGAGCTTGTTCAGAATATAGGTGGGCTCAAACATGGTCATAGCAAAATGTCAAGGTCTTTGAAGTTAAGGAACAACTGAGGGATTTAATACTGCTGGCAATAGAATATTTTACTGGTAACTATGGGGTAGGTTGAAATAAAGAGCTGTAGGCCAGAAGTGTCACAATAAAATTGAAAGACAAAAATAGTTTCTTAACCGAACTAAAATGACGCTCCTCTAAGAAACCAGGAAATGAATAGGGACACAGAAAGTTCTGCAGATACGGCAATATCAGTAGTAAATAACATTACACCTTCGCCAAATATATTGAAACAAGAGATACTTGACTTTTAATCGATAAAAGACAGGTTATGTCCGTACGCACCAATTTTAAATCAACTGAAGTCACTTCTGACCTGGAAACATGGCTCTCAAACCCAAGTAAAGGGTTTTCCTGAAAACGTCAGCAACTTAACATCAAAATGATTGATACATCAAGCAAGTAAATGTTTGTTTTCTGAATAAACAAAACTAGACGGTGATGTTTACAAGAGGGTGGCTGCAGACCAACTTTCCATCACGGCCATCCCACAACATCCTCCTCCATCCTGCCTGCAGCACGAATACGAGCACATCACAGTGGCCGTGCCTGAGAGAGCGGCTTTTGCAAGTCTGCAGTCTGCAGTTTTCAGCATGTCTGCCAGCATGTCTGCAGAATCCTCTTAAACCTAATGTGTTGGGGTCTTAATTCTGCCTAGGATTGCCTGAGTTTTCTAGAACAAATCGCTCTCTTGTGTCTAGTCTAGGAATACCGCCCTTTATTTCCCTGCATTATTATTAGATTTGGTGGCTATCGCCTACAAGAATTACAAGATCATGGACAGTCAAGTAGTCGTTGATGGTGTGGTGCTGAGGGGCTCTGACAGTGAAGTTGCCTCGGGACATTTGCTTGACATTGTTGAAAAGTCCTGGCGAGAAGACAAACTACCTGAGGATGATATTGCTGTACCAGTAGCTGAGTTGCCAGATCCTGAATCCGACAGTGGTGACACGACATTGACTTTAAAAGAGCAGGACCAGAAATGGAAAGACCTTGCTCTTGAAAAACTAAGTGACCATAATGAATCCATCTCAAGCTAGTAATTAGTTGAATTTGGTTGTGCCTAATCACATGCCCTTTACGTCTGTGATTGTCACACTTTCTAACTGTTATTCCCATACTTACATTTCAGACGGATTCATTGCTTGGGCTCAACGCAAGTTTCCTAGAATGCTGCGTATCTAAGTTTAAAAGCTTTTATTGAGACCTCATTGGTGTCTTCTTTGCCAGACATCAGACTGCCGAGAACTTGCCTGCTCACTTGTCACAGAGGTACGTTTAATCTTCAAGAGTACTTTATTATCGTCTAATTAAATCAAAGTTGTGAAATTTTAAGCCATCCCTGTTTTCTGTGCCCTATTTAGGATCATTCTGGTCACCATTTGGTTCTTCATGTTAAGTCATTTCCATGTTCTTTGGACGGATGCTCAGAATGTGGCCATTGAAAATAGAATGCTGTGTATGTTTGTCATTATTGCTCATGCTACTGTAGTTGTATTTATTCTTTGCTGAAGTAATCTTGAGAAGGACATCAGACTAATCTCAAAAATATCCACATATGTACCTTAAAGTTGGACAGTTTGGAACGTCTTCAAATTTTGTTTCTTTTCCACATGTATAATATAATCGTCTATTAAGTAGTAATTTAAGGTATCTCATTTGTGTGCAACTCATTCTTGTAAATGTACGTACTGATGGAGGAAATGTTCTGTTAGATTACTCATACTTGCAGTATTCTGTAAGCTTATAAGTACTCAATTAAAAATGATCAAATATGTATATGAGGCTTATACAATCAATTATGTAGAAGACACTATGTCGTGTGTACTCTTTGTTAATTCTGAAATTGTTTTTATGTTAATTATCTGTAAAAATCAATTGCTGATCAAGTTGATGTGGTTTTGTTAAATGTTTGTTATTCTTAGTATTATTGTAAATCAAGAAACACCATGCTCTGGTACTTTAAGCATCGTAATATGTGCTCTTGATGTACTCAAATTACACTTGTGGAAGCTATGTAAAATAAAATTTTTATTTATCATTAATTCTCTTGGTTCATTATCCATATCTGTATTTAACTGGATGTACACCTCTGGATGCCAACAAAGGTCTAGAATATTCAGATTTATAAAGTAGGGACAATGAGTCAATTTTGGAATAATGGGATA